CGCTAGAGACTCCACCTTCCTCACCTCTTCAGGGCGGAGAATCACCGTCCGGGGTCGTGATCCCGCTGGGAAGACCACTTCCGACACTACAGACGGACCAGGCTTAGGTGTACTCACCCTTGTTCCCGGTGCAAAGGAAGTACAAAGATTGGCCGAAGTTGGCACCAATTGTGTCGTTGGCCAAATCGCGAGGCTGGGCCTCAAGGTAGCCGTCCACAAGACGGAGCCGATGTACTTCAGCCTCCGCAAAGGACGGCCGCAGGGAGTAGACACCAGCCTCCGGGTAGGTGAGGCACGGGTCGAGGTGGGCAAGACCATCAAGTATCTCGGTCTCCACCTCGACCCGCGATGGCGCTTCGACGAGCATTTTGCTCGTTTGGGCCCTAGGGTAGCCAAAGTGGCCAACGCCTTGGCCAGGCTGCTCCCCAACCTCGGGAGCCCAAAGCAGAAGGCCCGCCGTCTGTTCACAAACGTGGTCCACTCGGTGGCCCTGTACGGGTCATCGCTGTGGGCGGAGACCGCTCTTCAGGCAGGTCAGCGGAGCCAGTTCCACCGGCTCCGCTTGGCCCAGAGGACTATGACCCTCAGGGCCATAAGCGGCTTCCGCGACGTGGCCACGGAGACGGCGGGCGTGTTGGCAGGGATACCACCCTTGGCCCTTCTCGCGGAAATGTACTCGGCGCAATATTCTTGCCGAGTCGAACTCCTGCGAGAGGACCTAGCGGACAACACCTTGCGGGAGGCCCTCGCTGACTCGGAGCGCCAGGCCCGACGGCAGCTGCTCCTACGCTGGGGGCAGGACCTGGACGAACCGCGTGCGGCCGTCCAGGAAGTCGTCGCGGTCGTCCGACCCCATCTCGAGGCATGGTTAGAGAACGGGGTCGGACGCCTCATTTATCGGGTGACTCAGGTGCTCACCGGGCACGGCTGCTTCGGGGAGTACCTGAGTCGCATTGGCAAAGAGCTAACGGCACGGTGCCACTNGTGTGGGGCGGCCAGCGACTCGGTGGAGCACACCGTGGAAGAGTGTCCACGGTGGGCTCAGGAACGCCNAGAGATGGCCGCCAAGATTGGAGAAGATTTGTTCCTGGAGGGACTGCTGAAAGCACTGTCCTCCAAGGACAACGAGGTATGGGGCTCAGTGGTCTTTTTCTACGACACAGTAATGGTGCAAAAGAAGACGGACGAGCGCGAGAGGGAGCGGGAACACATCCCTCTCGGGGGTCCCCGGGGGCGCGTGCGGGCGGGTCGCCGGCGAGCACTCGCTCCCCGTGCGCGTCCTCCGGGGCCAGGGCCCTCTAGATGACATTAGTCCCCCCTCCCCACCCCTACCACCTCTGTCTGTGTGTGTGTGTGGGGGCCTGGGGGGAGGGGGGGTCTGGGCGGTGGGCGTTGGGAGAGCCGGCTCTCTCGTTAGCCCATCGTCCCGGCGAGGGATCTTGGAAACGAGCAGGAACAG